TTAGTTAATCTAAATAAAACACAATTGCAAAGTGTTACTTTATAAAAAAAAATATTGTTTGTTTCTTTAATTTTTGTTATAAAATTTTAACGTTTGTGGAATTGATTGGTGTCGAGAAAACTGCAAAATTTGAAGTTATATTTAAAAAAAAAATTGTGATTTTTTACTTTACAATATTTTTGTTATTCTTTGTCGGATTTTGATGAATTTTGGTTCGGTTTAAAGAACGAACTTTGCAGAATATGGAAACATAGTTCAATAATATTTCTAGTTTTATCTTGCAAATGTTATACCTAAAAGACGAGAGCACTGTTTTTACTGTTTTTTATACTGAACTGTGGTGTGGACAGAGACGAACTTAAGTTTTTTTTTATTTCAGATTATTGCCCATCCTTTACTGAGTTATGTAACACATTTTCCAAAATTTTAGTTCTTGAGACATAAAGAGTCTCAAGATATAGACCTCCAAAAAAAGCATTACATTTCGAATTTCAATGAATTGTTCCATTTTAGTAGGCTAAATGTGCCAAAACGTCAAAATAGACATAGGGAAGTTTCCAAAAATTAACGGTTTTCTTGCTGTAATCCATTGAAGCTTTTTAGATTTTTTGTGTTTAAAGACGTAATTGTGCTTCTTTGGTGCATGAGGCAATAATTTTCGGTTTAACTACCTTTTATTAATTTTTCCTTATAATTTTTTATTTAATTATTAATTTGAAATCAGAAAAAACTTAAATTTGTCTCTGCCACACACCACAGCTCAGTATGAAAAACAGTAAAAAACAGTGCCTTCGTCTTTTAGGTATAACATCTACAAGACAAAACTAGAAATGTTATTGAATTATGTTTCAATATTCTGCAAAGTTCGTTCTTTAAGCCGAACCAAAATTCGTCGAAATCCGACAAAGAATAACAAAAATATTGCAATGTGAAAATCGCAAAATTTTAGTTGTCCGGTTTTCGATTTTATTTTGCAATTTTCTCGATAACTATTTGCCATAGAAGACTGATCTTTTTTGTATATGATTGCAAATTAAATTCTCTTTCCAACGATACCCAATTCCAGAGATTATCACCAATAATTCCGAAGTTATTAACAATAAACCGCTTCGCGTACCGAAAATCACCCAAAATTTTGACAAAAATCGAAAAAATTAAAAACTTTAAAGTTGTCCATTTGCCCTCTTGTAAAAATGCAAAAAATAAATTTTTGAAAAATTTTGTCTAACATATTGAGCGCGAACTTTAAAATACGTATCCACTAAAGTGTAAATAATGTAAAAAGATAATAGTGTATTAGTGAACAAAAGGTAAGTTTAAAGAAAAGGTAAGTTTTTTTTTAAATATAAAAACATTTGTTCTATAAACTTATTTATAAAAATTGTGGAAATAAATAAAAACTTTTCATTATTTTGTAATTTTGTAAACTTTAAATGCGATGGTTCGTTCACAATCAAACTTTTATAGAAAGCTTTGACATTAAGTAAAAGAAAACACCCGTTATTTAAAAAGCAGTTTAAGATTAATAAAGTGGTGTTTGATTATTAAGTTGTTTCAGTAATTAATATTTTTGCTCTAAGTCTTACAGTTTCGTAAAAAAACGCATTTAAATTTTCAGAATTTTGACAATTTGTGTTAAAGCAAAAAGCTCACCACCATCGTAATCTTTATGACTTGACTTGACTTTATTAAAAATTTTCGCGATAATTATTTATCGTAAAACACTGATTTTTTTTTGTATATGATAGAAAATTAAATTTTCTTTCCAACGATACCAAACATAGAAGGTTATCACCAATAAGTCCGGAGTTATTGCCATCAGACCGCTCCGGGTGCCAAAAATCGACCAAAATCTCGACAAACATAAAAAAAATCCAACTTTAAATAACGTTTTTCACATTTCTAAAGGTCCAAAAGACTCAAAAAATTGCATAAAACGTTATTTTGTTAAGTTTTTTTTTAATTAGTAGTTAAAGCTCAATAAAAGACCAATTCACTTTTTTATTTGATCAGACTGCAAATAAATATTTCAAAAAGCGAATAATTTTAATATT